GGTATTAGAAATTTCATTCTAAGTCTGTAGAAAAAGAACATTTGCTAACTATTCTTTTTGGAGGATTAATCTTGCATAAAACATTCATTAAAGGAGGCTTTGCTGCATTATTTAAAATGACACCAGGAGACAACAAGCTGAATATTTTGTCATTGATATGACACTTCAGATTCTTCTCCTTATTCATCACTCTGGCACTCAATTAAATTGCATGCTATCAAAATCTTGTGTTGTAGAAAAAAAAATAGAGAACTAAAAATATATACAATGTGAATTTTAGATTTAATCGGTATTTTACATTATTTGGCAATGTATGGGATTGAGGTTTTTTTCTTTTTTTTACATTCCTGCTTATTAAAAAAATGTCAAGCAGATTGATCAATGGAAAACACAAAATTGCAGCATATTCTGAGGTGGCATGACATCAATACAGGTTGTTTGTCATTTTCACTGGTTTTGTTTGAGTGGCATTGCAGTACAGCTAAGTGGGAGAACTCCAGTGAAGAAGTTTCTTAGGGAAAATTGTCAAAACCAGTCAGCCTCTGCCACAGGGTGGGAGTTGCCTCAAAACAGAGAACAGCCCCTGCACCTTCTGTAGATTCATCTCAGTTGTGATAAATTGAATTGCTGTCCTTTTCCTGCATCATGCCAAGCCCCAGTACTGTTCTTGTGTGTTCAGTGTGGCTGGAACTCTGAAATGGAAATCTCTGAAATCTCCCAGAGCCACAGTTACTCCACATGCAAGGAGGGAAAACTGCTTTAGACAATATCCCACACATGTCAGGGCAGGAATATTTATGCTTTCACAAAAAATCTGAGAATGTGGGAGTGGTATCAGTGTGTGTGTCATGTATAAATACAGTTATTATTTCATGTTGTTATCTTAACTATGTAGTAAAATGATACATCTGTTATAATGTGCTGCAGATAATAAATGTGATATATGTAGTGTGTAAATTCTGTATTTAGGGTTCAAACCTATTGCCTCAGGACACTCTATAATTCCTGTGCTTTAAAAAGTCTGTTTTCTCATAGTGCTCCCCACTCCAGCAGTGATAAGCATCTAAAACTGCTGCAAGTCTGATTTGTTTGACTGATTTGATCATCAAATCCATCTTCAAACATTTTTATTTCATCCTCCCCAATTCAAACAAGAAGCTGTGTGCTCTCCTCCAGCAGCACCTGCACTTTTTAGCTTCTTAGTTCCTGTGCTAACCCCTTTTCCAGTGTCCTTTTTCAATTCCTTCTCTTGTGTGGTTCTTGACTGTAAAATTAACTCAGTTCTTCAGATCCTTCTCCTGTACCTGTTCCTGGATCCATGTGGAAACACTTCCCTGGAGTGGGCATCCTTTGGAGATTGGGTGTGCTCCTATCCCAGGAGGGGCAGCCTTTTGTGGAGGTCGTTGTCACTCCCAGGAGTGCCTTCACTGCCATCTGTATCTGCTCTTTGTCCTTAGACCTGTTCATTCTCCATCTTTTGTGCTATGAGCAATCCTGGGGAAACAATTTCAATGCCTTCCAGCATTGCATCAGCCTACCCCTTGATAAAATAATCAAGGATTGCTTCTCTGTCTCAGAGATTTCTCTGCTCTGTTCCCATCTATTCATTCCTGTTCTTGTTTTGAGGATGAAGAATTCTCAGTACCATGAGAACAATGTGAATTTTCGTAATCTCAGTAATAGGCTTTTTAAAAAAATTATTTAGATGCAAACACTACACTAGTTTAGAAATCTCTCAATATTATTTTTCAAGTGTCAGTTATGTAGCCCTCTTTGAAACTAAAGCAGCATTTTGTGTTTGTACAGGAGTCCAACACATACAAGTTTTTCTGGACTCAAATTGCACTGTAGAGGACAACATAGTGGCCATAGAGCCAGCCTTGCCACTTTGATGATAAAAGTTCCCATTGCATTCTGCTGTGTACCAGAGATTTTTACAATATCTTCAAGCCACCCTAACAGCAGCTGAGACATTTTTAATCCACAAGTGCTCCAAAGACAAATACTGGGCTGACGAAAAATGTCACTGTCACAGTCTGGCTTGGGATACATAAATAGTTCTAGGGATACATTAAAGTTGAAGCCAAAATGAGGTGGCTTTTATCAAGTGCTGTCACACTGAAGACTGAGAATTTGAAATTGAAAATTTGAGAATTTGGGTTTGGGTCCAGACTAAAGATTTTTGCTTGAGATAATCAAGTGATGGAGCCAGGTTTGTTTTCATGGTGTCTTGACACATTGTGGTGTCTTGACACAATCTCACTTCAATTTCATTTGAATTTTAGGTAGCATGGCAAGTGATACAGGCTGAGTCAGTGGGAAGCTATCAGCCTAAGTGACTAAATTTACTGATGATATACTGATTTTCTGATTTACAGCAACCTGTTAGAAGGAAAATGCTGCTTTTCTTGTGTGTATTTAGTGCCTTTCCTGTGCTGTCACTTGGAAGAGCTGGTTTTGTGTTGAGGCATGCCATATCAAGTTGAGTGGTTTAAAACCTCATTGTGCAGTGGAAAAAAATACCAAAATCTCTTCTTTAAATCCACAGATTAATGCATATAAATATATTTCATAGTTACTTTAACCTAGGAGCATAGGGCCAAAAGGAAGTACAGGTGGGGTTTTTTTGGAGGGAGAAATATTTTATGAGAGAATGTAGAGGAATTAATAGTTCTGTTTAGCAAGTATGAAAACAATTTGTGTTGAAGGATATGAATCTAAGGAGAATAAAAGCTGCAATGAGAGCCTGTGAACCTCTAGAGAACATTACAGCTTCTGGAAAGTGTAGAGTGCTACAGGATTACCCACAGGAAACCACACGGGTGCTGTTTCAAAGCTCCATTTGTCCTTCCCTTCAAATGCAAATTTTCTGTACAGGTCTTTTAATTGTTGATTTATCCAGAAAGAGAAATTTCTGGGTAACTTCTACCTGACCAAATATGCCATCTGCAAGCCAGCTTTACACCCCTATTTACTGAAAAATGCAATTGTCTGCATCAATTCAGAAATTACTACTTGCTCGAGAGGGTTTTGCAGAGTGTAAGATTCTCTAGCATCAGGCTGCAGTTTGTTTATTTCTCTAAATTATAGGATTTTCCTTTCATGTGGAGGTGTCAGCCCTATGACAGTAAAGAAATGATAAAGGTAAAGGAATCTGGGGCATTCGTGTGCTTGAAATTAAAGAGAGTGAGCTGTACAACCAGTCATCATTAGCAAACTGAACTAAAGAAAACATGAATTTTTAAAATGCTCTGATCTCTAGGAGCTTAAAAGTGATGCATCTTCTAAGTTTAAAATGCAAAACCAGGGTATAACCAATGGGTGCAGATGAATATAATTCATTGGTGGCAGATACACATCAGCAGCTGAGACTAAACATTCAGTTAAAATGAAAGAAGCTGGTTATTCTTCACACTTCCAAGGGCTATCCAAAAAGACTGTCAAGGCATCTGGGAATTTTCACACACAAAAACATTCTAGTATTGTGACAACAATAAGAAGTTGTTTTTTTTTTTTAATTCATTGAAGATGTGAACATGAGAGTCAATACAGAAATAATCACAAATTTTATTAGAGGAAATGAGGGAATATTGATAGGAACTACAGAAAGACCAGACTAAGCTCTGTGAATGGGCAGCACCAGGAGCCCAAAACTCGGGGTCAGCATGTTGGAGCAAACACAGAAATGGATCATTCACGTTTTTAGATAGAAGGTTAACTGTAACAGCTCGGGAAGAATCCTGGCTGTGGCCTCTTGTACATTCTGGACAATTTAATTAACACTTCCACTGTTAAGCAAACTGAACTGAAATGGACAATTGTGCTGGAACAATCAAAATGCTCTTCTACACTTTATCAGCCCGAGCACTGTGTTTGTTTCTCATCCAAAAAAAATCACAAACATAATTTGAGCAGAAGAGAAAAAAAAGGGGATGAGAGAGTCTTCTTTGGGGCTTGAAAAATATTGGTCCAGCTAGTGTGGAATTGAGGAGGTGAAATGGTGGACTCACAGTGTCACCACTTGGCATAGCTCTGGTTTCCTACAAACTCCAAAGAGATGTGCATTCCCAGGAAAAGAAAAATCTGCCATTTTAAGACCTTTCACCTACTTCCTAATCTTTTTAACATTCCTCTTTATTATTTTTTATTTAATAGAATGGCGGCTTTTTAATATAAATAATTTTAAGAATTGCTGTGCAGCCTGGTTGGCAGCCTGATTGCCCCTCTCCTGTCAAGCATTTGTTTTTTTAAAGGCTGTTTTTAATACTGTTTTAAGTACACACTTCAAAATGTATCTTCAGATTTAGATATCCTTTCAAAAAATAAATGTCATGTCTTGTTTTGCTTCAATTTGGATATGGTGCCACCCTGGGACTGTGCTGGTTGAGGAAAAAAGTTGATTTGAGTAACACTGTGTATATTTCAGGTATTTACAAACATATTAATTCAGAGATTTACTGGATTATACCCACCCAATGCACAGAGCATATCTAGGAGAGCTTTTTTTGTGACACCCCATTCCCTCTGTCTCCTATGTTCCTAAATCACTGAGATCTTTTTCTTTGAGAGGAAAATTATGACCCTCAGTTTGTAATTACTTGGACATGGCTTATGAATATTTGAGTTTTGCCTTAATTTGGATACATTCCAAAATACTACACAGCAAGTTTTGTTATTTGGACATAGCAGGCTCTTCTTTGATCATTTTTAAGGGAGAATACACCAAAGTGAATGGTGTGCATTCGGCTAATCCAGTAAGAACCAAAAGAAAAAAAAAAATAAAAAAAAAAAATTAAAAATAAATAAATAAAATAAAATAAAATAAAAAGCACAGAAAATAATTCTTGGGGAGTAACACGGTGAATTGTGTTTGCGATATAAATTAGAATTTTGGAAATATTTTATATAGTCATTTACTGTTAATAACCCCTGAACAGCTAGAATTGTAAAATCCCCATCATTTGTCCATAATCCTAATGTGTCTCTTTGGTGTTTTGCAGGCAGACCAGTAATGATTGTAGTTGAATACATGGAGAACGGATCCCTTGACTCCTTCCTGCGGGTGAGGTGCCATTTTCTGATGACATTTGAATCAGAAAACCATTCTAGGTTAAGATTTTAAATCATTTATCACAAATTAATTTCTACCTAATGTTATTCATGGATTTTTAGTGAAGAATAGAAGCCTTTTCCCCAGGGTACGTTTCTGAGGTACAGTAATACATTAAAGCATGGCTAGAAAAAAAGAAGATTTAAACTTTAGAATGTAATTGATTTTTTCTACAAAAGTAGTTCCTGTATTTAGCAAAATGTATTTCAAATTGTGTTTTTGTGAAAGAAAAGATAAATTGAAGCATAAATGCCTGGCCTTATGGAAGTGGTTCATTTTTCTCAATCACCTTCAACAATACTCTGTTATGATTTTTTTGGTTGGTGAAGCATAGAATATACTCAGTAATTGATTTATAATATTTATGGCTACTTGCATTTAACAAATTGAATTAGAAAACAGTTCATGGGTGAAATGTCCTGGCATTAATTAACCCCCAATGGTCCTTAATAAACATTAAAGAAGGGCTACAGAAAATGTCAGTAATATGCTGGCAAAATTGGTTTGTTTTTTTTTTTTTTAATGTAAAAGGAAAGGATGACCCCCCTCTGTGAGCTATACTTACCCTAAAAGAGTCTCTTTTTTTACAGAACTCCTGGAAATGCTCCAGAGACCCACTGACCTAAGACCCTGTGTGAATAATTTTCATCTCAAGTATTTCAGATTTGTCTTAAAAAGTAAACAGCAGCCCTCAGTATCCCAGTGCCTTGCCATTTCCATCCTGCAGAATGGTTAATCTGGGCTTGTGGCCAGTCAGGGGCCTGTGGGTTTGGGAATTTGTTTGAAAGGGTATCCCAAAGGAGAGATGTTCAACAGGGAGCTGTGGAAATATTGGTGTGAAAATCTTGGTGATGGTTGAAGGCTCTTCTTTGGTAGCAGGATGAAGGAACTGGTTAGAGGAAAAAAAAATTGAATAAACAGGAGGGAAAAGCAGGCAACACTTCTGGAAGATTCCCATGAGAGGGGAGAAAGTCATGCAGACAGTACCTGCTGGGAAGAGGGGAAGCCACAAGAGAAGAGCAGGAGGGGCAGGGGATGCAGCCCTGAGAGTACAGCAGAGCCATTGTCAGACACCTCTAGACACTGATTCTCTTCACTTTTTGGTTTTGATTATTCCTCACTATTTTTTCTCTGACATTTCTTTGCTGTCCTCCTCACTGACTCTCCCAAATAATTTTTTATTTTCCATTGCCAAGACACATGACAGATATCTGTTATGTTGTCAGAAACATACCAGCAGTTTCCTGTAAGAATTTGGTGATTTCTCAAAATAGAGTGTTTGATATCATGCATGTCTTGGACACTGGATAGTTTTTTAAAATTACTCTCCTTTCTTTTCTGGCTCTTCTCTCTATCCATCTGCCCCTGATTCGAGTACCTGCAGCTTCCTTGCTCTGTTATTTTCCAGCAGTGCCCCAGGAAGATTTGTCTGGGCCTGAAACATTGTTCTGTGCATGTGTGTGTGTGTGTGGAGAATTTCATAGAGGAGAATAGAACCATGTCCTGAAATAATTCATGAGAGAGAATTACCTTTCTCTGAACTGCTTTGGTGTGATATCTGTATTCCAGGTTTATTTCACATGCATTCATTTATCAGAACAGTTACTACTTATTAAGATACTTTAATAGAAAGTGGCATCAGCAGAATTATGATGTTACTGTGGAGCAATGCTTCTCACATTGCATTGGATATATTTGGAAGCAGAACTGCTGGGGAGAAATGTGAGCTAATAATTTCTGCAGCTGTTTTTCGTGTATATTATTTTACAGCTTCAATTCACACTTCAGATATGGGTTATTCTTCTAAAATGCTTATTGAATGTACTTTAGATAATATTCAACATCTCAAAGCACTGTAGATATATGTCAGCATTTCTGTTTATAATTAGCAGAGCAAATGGCTGCAAAGTAACCAATTTAAAAAGAAATCCAGCTGCTTCATTAATAATGGTTGTTTCCTGCAGATATAAGTCCACATTTTTAAGAGCTTTTGTGAAGATACAAAGAAGCAGAGAGGCTTTATCTTTAGCAATCCTAATGAAAGGCGTTCAGTGACTATAACAAATGTTGTGGGATTTGGAAGGGCTTATCACATAGTCTGTCTTTCTTATTATTTAAAGGAATCAATTGTTCCAGTGCAAAGTGTGTTTACACAGAGGAGAAAAAAAGTCCATTTCTTACCATAAGAAATATTTCCCCACATATCACAACCAGCAAAAATTCCTCAGCACATCCCTCCATCTGTCTTTCTCCAAAAGCCTGCAGAAGTGGGTCAATCTTACAAATTCCAAGTGAGATTCTGTGGTGAACCATGTGAGGGTATTCCAGAGGAAGAATTGCATTTGCCATCACCCTCCTCACAGCCCTGGTGAGATATTTGCTTTCATGCCACTACAGGCTGTGTCAAGAATCAGAAGCCTCCCATCACCCTTTAATCTCTCACCCCTAAAATCTAAATAGCCTTCACTTCCTTGCTTTACAGACAGCAGTGTCCACTTTCTGCTATTTATTTTATAGATTTAACAGCAAGCCCAGCTGAATTATGTCTTCCCCATCCCACAAACTATCCTGTATGCTGGCTGCTAACTTTGAGCTTTTGAGTAAAAAACATTGGAATGGATCTGCAATATGAAGCTGCTTCAGAGATATTCTAGTGGGAAGGCATCAGCTAATTAGAACCAATTTTCTAAGATGATGGTAATTAATTTCAGTGATTGTGCATCATCAGACATCCTAAATTGCTGGGTACACTTGACACTGAATTTTCCTCAGAAATACTGCATTATTTTTGCAATTATATAAAACTCATTTACAAAAGATGAAGCTTCGTTTTTTGTAGTGTTGTTTGGGAGGTTTTCATCATATAAGACTGAGATATGTAGGTTAATCATCCCACAAAAGTATACCTGAAATTTGCCATCAATGAAACAGTTGTCTGACCAGAAATGAGGGTCATGTGGCTTCGTTTCTGGTAACACTTGGAGAGATTTCTCTGAAAAAGGATGTGGGTTTCCAGCTAAGTATTTCCTCAGGGGCTAGAGCCTCTTTCAGCATTACACCAACAGCTTCCAGATAGAGGAAATCTGTGCTTGGACAGAAAGTGGCTAACCCTTGGGAATTGAGGAGACCCAGGTAAAATTTCCTGTTACCAGCTTCACACAGACTTTGGATGGGACACATTGTCTTTATGTTTTAGTCACCTGCCCGTGTCGTGGAGATCTCAGCAATCACTTATTCTGCAGGCATCTGAGTCAAATAATAAAGGCAAGAAGGGTTGAAAGGGCAGGTCTCCATTGATGGAAAGATGTTAGTGATTACACAGGGTAGTTGCAGTCAGATGTGTTTGCTTGAGTTTGTGGATACAGGCTGCAGAAGAGACAACGAGAAAGACAACAGGGAGAGATGCATAACAACCACAAACTAGAGAAAAAAAGCTGAAAACCCACAAAACCTTTTCAGCAAGCAGCTTGGCAGTTTGCCCTGCTGTGGATTGGAGATGGCTGTTGGACACAAGCCTATGAGATGATTGCAATAATTCCTCTAAAAGTCCTTTCCTTGAGGTTGTTTTTATCACCCCAACACACCGTGCCCCACTCAGCCTGTGCCTCACAGATTCATGGGGCTATTCAAATTAAAATCTCATCTGCTCCATTTTGTTTTCACAGCTCCATTTAAGGGGTCATTCTTGGCTGAAATAATTGGATTTAGCAGCACATGGAGAGGAACAGGGTGATGAGGAGGTGAGGTGGCTTCTTGGGAAGAATGATTCCTGGAGAGCTCTGTGGTCTGTGCTCACCTCCTGATGCATCAGGCAGAGTGGGCATGGATTTAAACACAGAAAAGGAGCATGTCTGGAAGCTGCCTTTTGGAGGAGGTTTGTGGTTGGCTACACAGAATCACATAAAGTGAACCAAAGAATATCACCAGAATACTGAACTTCTTTCAGTATTTTTCTGCAGCTGCAGGCTACCAGAGCTTTGTTCCTGCTCAGTGTCCAAGGTTTGCTGAATGGACAGAGATGTTTAGGTTTGAAAGATGCTCCAGTCTTGCCCAGTTTTGTGAATCTCAGAGCAGGAAAAGGAAGGGATGTATTTACCTGGGGTAATCACAGCACCATCTTGCTTTCTTCATTGTTACTATTTGCCATTGTAATTCTCCTCTTCCTCCTGAAAAGCTAGTGCTGATATATTTCTGTTCACTTCAGAAAATTAAAATACTTGTGGAAAAAAAGTTAGATTTATATACAGGCAAGCATAGGAAGTGAAAATGCTACCCTACATACTTTTTTTTCTTTCGAAGAGTCTATAAGAAATATGCTTAATTGCCTTAGAGCACCAACTGCAGCAGAGTGTACAGCAAATGAAACCCTGGAATTCAGCTTCAAGTTTTAATCCCTCAAGGCTGGCCTGGCAGAGGCTAAGATAAGTGTTACTAGATGGAGAAAATATTGTGATATATTGCTCTTTCTTGCAGTAATCGTTATGAAGTATTCTCAGGGCAGCTTTGCCATCACACTCAGCCTTTTTTCAGCTACAGTTTAGATGCTGTGGCAGACACATTTAGCAAGTTTGGGGGGAAGGGGAGAGAAGACAAAAATGAACACTTGCAGCAAATTCTACAAAACAATGTTGTAAAGTGTCTGTTGTATATCCATCTAACGTGGCCCCACCAGACAGAGAAAGCTGTGGGGGAAAAAAAGCCAGATGGCCTTTTCTAACTTTAATGGTTCCTGTTATTATTTATCTGCATTCAGAGAAGCAACACCATTAGACCTAATAACTAATATTCCTTCTTTTGCTTTCCCACCCAGCATTCATGTGCACTTGAATTTATTGGAGGTACATTCCTTTCCTGGCAGGGTAAAGATGGCATTTTGCTTTCAAAAATCAGTCTGTAAAAGACAAAATATGCACTGGAAACCTGGAAACTGATGATAACTTTTTATTTTTTAAAAAACTGAAATCAGATTGAGCAATTAGAAAGTGAGTTTGAAAGAATGCATTCCTTTAATAATGAAATCATAAGCAGCATGTATTTAAGTGACCCAAGATTGCACTGAGAAGCTGTCACTGATGCTACAGAGACAGCATTTGTTCTCAAGCAATGTTTTACTCTCCTAAATGATGTATAAACATCATTTCTGATGCTGCTGGGAGAAGTTAATTTAGAAACGCTGAGCATTTTTAATATGTAGATATTCTTACTTAGACATTAAATACCATAGATATTCTTAGTACCAAGCAACAAGAAATTTATTATAAATGGTCTTATATTTGAAGGCAAAAAGAATTTGAAAGGTAATGTGAGCTCTCTCACCAAGTTTTTCGTGAATTTGTCAAGAATCAGAACTCAGAAGATCAGAACAGAGCCAGTGTCTTTTAGAAGAGAGGAAAAAAGAAGCCAAGAAATCACAGGCCAGTCAGCTTAATGTCAACTGCTGTAAGATTTCTGGAACAAATTATCAAACAAAGTCCAAACATCTCAAAGATAACAGTGAGATAAGTGTGAGCCAACACGGATTTGTCAAGAGTTGATTCTGTCAAACAAGACCTGGTTTCCTTTTGTAGCAGGGCTCAGGCTTTGTGGCTGTGGGAGAAACAGCTGATCTCATAAACTTTGGCTTCAGTAAAGCTTTAAAACTCTCACATGAGATCCTTGTGAGCAGCCAGAGAAATATGGTGTTCATGAAATTTCTGCTGTATTGGCTACATCCTGTGTGGAGGGAATGGAATTTGGGCAGGGCTGTTCTGCTCTCTGTGTAGGATTGCTCATTAGCATTTTAAATGAACGAAAGTAATGATATTCTATTGAACTAATGGAATCTATTAATAATAATTAAGTCTGCATGGAACTCTGTCAACAGTTGAATGAAGAAGAAATTAGCTGACCTCATTTAGTGCCAAAAATATAAACTTTAGTGTGACATACATGATAGTTTGAAGTATGAGTTACACTTTCAAGAAATACCAAGCTGGAACTTGAAATTTGGAAGATTTATCTTGACAAAGTTCTACCATTTACTTTGCACAGTAAAACTGTAATGATAAATGCATAACAAAAATTGCATCTTTCACCCAGTGCCCAGTAGGAAGTCAGTGATGAATATGATCTAAGTTAGAAACAGACACACCATTTTCAGTGCTGTTCTCCATCTAAAATGAGATCTAAATAATCTGCTGCAAAATATTTAGACCTGTAGCTAATCCTGCACAGAGGATAAAGGCCTAAATGTGTTCTGACTCATTTGGCACATAAGGAAGTGGATTTTGGAATAGATTGAACTCCAGAAACAATACAGAAAAATCCAGTGGCCACACCTTCAAAGGTTTACTGGGTAGTAAAATGGAAAAAAACTTCGGAAGAAGAAAAATTCCACAGGCTTGTTGAAAAGCACTAAACTGGTCACTGGAGCTGAAAACTGGAGGGCAAAATGCAATGAAGAGAAACTCTGGATATCCTCCTTCCTCCCCTAGAGTAACTGAATCTCTTCAGCAGCCCATTATATTTAGTGCTCTTGAAAGGTCTGTAACATGAGGAGAATATTTCACTTACATAAGGGTCTCAAAAGCAAACTGTAGCTGAATAAAAATCATTTTTTCAGGGCATTTTTAAGGGCTGCATAAATGCAAGAGCAACTACTCAGATATTGCATCTCTACCCAGCTGTTGCTAAAAGTTTATTTAGCAAAGCCATCAACGCTTGATTAAAATTTAATGGAATGATAGGATAAATGTGGTGAGTCCACTGAGGTCTGAATTGCTGCCAGTATTGATTAGCACCCTTAATAGCCCAGTGGGAATCCTATCAAAAAACATTTCAAATCTAAGCTATGGGAATCAGAATAAAGCCCTGGGTAACAACCATCCCACCACTCAGATGAGCGTTTTATTTCCCTATATGCCAAGTGAATGAAACAAGATAGTGGAAAGTTGGCAAAGGATTGTACCTGGGGACTTAAAAACGCTGAAAATATGAGGCCAGATTCTACCTGCTGTAATTTCATCAACCTACCTGAATTTTCCAAAGGTTAAGTGTAGCTCATAGTCTGTAGCCCGATCAGCTCACATAAAAAAAAGTTGATGTATTGAAAGATAACAGTTTATAGACTGTAAGGGGATACAGCTGGCATGGAAACTGATGCAGAAATGATTACAAAGAGATCTGATTGAGAAAAGACACTTCTGCTGACAGTAAAAAAATGTAGTTGGTCCAACTGCAAGGCTGGTGGTGCAAAAATGTAAAACCAAGCCTGAGAAAAGAGAGGAGAACTGATGCAGTAGAGGACTCTGAGAAATATAAATATACAGAAGGAGAACAGAATAAAATTGCAGCTGGTATGTTAGCAGGTCTGTCATTTCTTTAATAGTGAAGATAAGAAGCTTTAACTTTTTGTGTCAAGGCAGAAACCCAAAAAAATATTTAAAGAAGGGCAGAGAGAATGGCAAAAGCATGAGATTGTTTTAAACTCAGGCATTACAGCTATACTGGTAAGGCGAGTCCTGAGACTTGGCAGGAGCAGACAAAAGGTTATGTTTTATGAAAAATCACCCAAGCGTGGTCTAGATTTGCAAGAACAGAAATTAAAAAAGGAAGGAATGAAGGCTTGCAATCCAAGAAGACAAAAGGTTAAGGGAGGTGCTGCAGATGACTCTGAGGTTTGTTGAAAAAATGAAGCTGGTAAGGAGGATAAGGAGGAGGTAAAATCTAGGGGTTTGGGGGGTTGGTTTAGTTTGGTGCTTTCTTATGAGGTAGAGAGGGGCTTGAATGGTCATTTTGCAAAAGTCAGGTGCTGGCACTTTGTTCCAAATCCTAATTCTACAGTTAGCTGAAAAAAGTAATCCATACATGATAATGTGAAGGGTATTAACTGTTGGCAACCAACTTCGTGATTTTTTAATGAATTGAACAATTAGAATTAGTATATAAAAGGCAAATCCCATGTTGCCTCATTACAAAAATATTGGCTGGAATTCCTGTCCTTCCTTTACAGGAAGCAGCTGAAAGCAGTTAAGAACATAATCTTTGGTCTCTCCTTAATTGCTGGATGGAATGAGTTTATTTAAAACTCCTGTCACTGGTAGTTTGGGACTCATCACAGTCGTGCCTTGACCCTCCTGAGTGTCCTCTGCAGAACCAGCTGCTCACAGGTGGCCTTGATGGTGACAATGAGGGGAAGTGTGGCCTGATCACTTGGGGAGAGCTGCCTCCACTTCGGTGTGGAGATTTGAGAGACAGAAAGGCTTTACTGCCCTGACATAAGACACTGACACCTTCAGGGGGAAAAAAAGGCTCTAAACCAGTTATAAATAGCTGGTTTCAAAGAAGTGTCATTAAATGTGCTTTCTTGGGAGGTGGCATGGCTCCTTAAATAAAAGTTGCTGAGTACTATAATAAGGCAGTGACATCTTCTAGCTGACAAGGTGTGTTGGTATCTTCCTTTCACCATTTTCTTTCTGATTTTTGTCATAGTCCTTAAATGTTCATATCCTGACTAGCTAGATTTAGGCCCCAAATCATTGAATCATTATGGGAATGCTGAAATATTTTGCTGACCAGGGATGAAGCTAAGCATAGTTCAGCCTGTTGCTTTGCTGAATCTAATGAATTTGCTGAAATTCCTGTAAGTTTCTCCCCTATAAAAATCATCTTGCTTAAATGTATGAGCTAAGCAATAGAAGCGTCCTGAATGCTGATCAAAACTTGTTATTTCTCTGTAGCCTAGTGCTGAAAGTCTTGAAAGAGAAAATGGAAAGTTAACTTGTTTGCAGGAGTTGTTTTTGTTTGGCTGGTCCTTCGAACATAAAAAGCCTGGGTCACTGAATAATCCATGAGAAGCTAAACGTCTGCCAATTGAAGGCACAAAAATACTTCTGCAGGCAGTCTGCTGTGAATGGTAGATAGGGCAAGCCTAAACAAGACCAAGAGCCTGCAATCACATTTCTGTGCAGGTCCCCAGTGCCACATAATTCAGGAGCTGTCTGATGCAGGACATAAAGAAGTGTTGACTTTGGTGCTGCAGATGGAGAAACTGAGGCCCAGCAAGGCTGCCCAGCTGGGCAAGCACAGTTAATGGCATAACTCTTATTCATGTGTTCAACTGCAAGAGCTTTCAGAAGGTGTTAAGTAGTTTAATGAATTCATGGCTCTGAGCTTAACCTTAATCTGCCAGGAAAATTTTGGCAAGGCTACATAACCCGTGAATTCCACCCCAAATCTCCTTTTTAATCTAATGTTCAGAGATTAGGTGTTAGGTGCACAAACAGCATAAGCTAAAGCCCCAAACTTTTCTCAGGTTATTTTGGGAATTTTTTTAAATAAACAAACCCTCCACCAAAAAATGCCATAAAAGCAAGGTAACAGCACTATCTCATGGCTGAGACAATAAAAAGAGGCCTCTTTGTTTCCTGAGGCCATGGAGTAATAGGTGAAAAGTTTTGTGTCTTTTCTCCTTCTTGCACTAAAAATAGTGTCGGGGGGAAGGCGTTCATAGTAGCCAAGTGTGAAAGCAATTAAGCGTTGTCAGTAGGAAGATTGTGAAATGTGTGAAAATGTGGAGGAAAGGGAGATAAACTGCACAATGAGAGATGTGATGGCAAGCACTGCTTGAAAAAAAAAACAAGCTCGCAAGTGGGCAGCTTTGCTGGATGGGTGACAAAAACATTTTAAAGAAGAGCTGTGGTTCATCTCATTGGGATGAAATAAATGGGAAGTAGCTGTGTTGTTTCTTCCCTTGCAGAAGCACGATGGGCACTTCACAGTGATCCAGCTGGTTGGAATGCTGCGGGGAATTGCCTCTGGCATGAAATACCTGTCGGACATGGGCTACGTGCACCGGGACCTGGCAGCACGGAACATCCTGGTTAACAGCAACCTCATGTGCAAAGTCTCCGATTTTGGCTTGTCACGGGTGCTGGAGGATGACCCCGAAGCTGCCTACACCACAAGTGTGAGTTTTCTTATTTAATTTGAACAGCTGATTGCCTGGTGCCTCTTCTATTCCAGTTTCAGATTTGTCTGTGCCATAGGAAGAACTGGAATTTGGCTTTGTTCCCTTCTCAGTCGTGTGATTCAGTGAACACACGGGCACTGCTAAGGGAAGTTGTTTTGATTTTTGGCTAAAGGATGTGTAATAAACTTCTGGAAAAGTTTATTTTAAGCAAATGTGCAAGTGTAAGTGGGAGACTTTTGTAATTCTTTGTGGTTTTGTTGGCTGTGGAGGGTCTTTTCCCACTTTGTTTCTTCTTCTGGCAATTTGTGTTCATTTACAAGGATATGTTTGGAAAAGAGAGATTGGAGAGGAGGGAATCTTACCAGCTTCAGTGTTGGAAGCATGCTGTTAAGCCTTGCATTCATAAATGAGAATTTTAATTTTGTTTCACTGAAGTTTACCTTCTAGCTGGACATGTGGGACCTTCCTTGCATGCTTTAGGTCAGTTCATTAACATTTAATTCTTTATGTGATGCAAATAAACTGCTACAATGACAAATGGGATTTGGGTGAGGAGAGTTGGGATGGGTTTTTTGGTTTGTGGTGCTTTAGAGGGAGTTTCCAGTGAAGTGCAAAACTCTTGAACATGAAGAACCTTGTTCAAATGACAAGTCAGTCCCCAATACACCATTTTTTCCTGATAACAAAATACATTTCAGTTCCAATTATTATCACAACTGCTAATTGCAAGATGATTTTTGAGTAACTTTCATATGTATCATTTAAACTTTTATTTCAGTGGAGGAGTGCGTTCTCATTATTACTTTTACAAAACGTGCAGAATTTGTACATTCCCATGATAGGGCACAGTGACAGAATTGTAATAGAGAAGATAAATGAACATTAAATAATTTATTTCACCCTTTTTTTTCTATTTCACTTTAAAAAATGATGTATGGCCAAAATAAGGAATTAATCTAATTTCTCTGTACTGCAGTATTGTGGTGCATCTACTGAATTCAATGTAGATATTGTAATGGGATTATAGAGCTTATATATTTATATATATAGAATATATATTTACATTTGGTTTAGGCCTAAAATAGAGGTGTTCTGATAACTTTGCTGCAACTTCCATTTCTTAGAAGTTCTGTACAGAACTGCAAGCTGACTTAGAGGAGAACAAGTCACTTTGCAAGGTTTTCTATTGGTTTCAATATGCAAGCTGGTGGGGAAAAAAAGACCCCAGATTTTTCTTTATAGCAGAGATTTCTTCATTTAGTTCTCAAAACCTCTTTAGCTTCACAATGCTTGAAAGGGAGCGCAGCCATCGCTGCAGTTTAACAGGTTCTCACACGAGGGCTGAGCCTCGCTAATCGCCCGTGTGAGGAGCTCAGCTGGCACCGAGCGCCCCAGGGACAGGAGTCAGGGACAGTCTGAGCTCTGAGCCCCGCAGCCCCTCTCCCAGCCAGGGTCAGGAAGGATACCAAATGATAATTGAAACCTATTATTTGTCCTGTAATTGTCTGCTGGATACCAACACAGAACAATTAATTTTACAGAGTAGTTAGTGCCTGTCCTGTTCATCATGGCTAGAGCTGCTTTTAACCAGGGAGTGCTGTGTTGTGAAAAAAACAAACAGTGCCATGACATATTCCTTTTTTCCTTTGTTAGTGGCTTGTTTCTTTTTTTTCTGCCTTAACTCAGAGTCAGGATGAAATCACAAAAGAGACTAATTTTTTGTGTTCGGGCTTCGTTGTTTATTAATTCTTATTTATAGTACAGAGAGTTCTGCAACACTTGTAGCTTACAGCTAAAAACGAGGGAGATGAAATAGAGCTGGTTACAAGGTCTTTTAAAGCTAAACAGTCCAACATAGAAATAACAACTATATTATTTATACTTTTGACCCAATAATCAAACCCCTGTGACCCGCAGTGCAGCACTGACTGTCCAACCAGAAACTACTACCTGAAAGCATGAAGAAAAAGGAACAAGAAAGGAGACAATGCCCAAGAACCACCATCTTGTTCCATACCTATTACTATATTCTAAAACCCCAAATTCAAAGCTCTTCATCATGTGAAATCACATACTTCCATTCTAACTACACATCTGTGATTCTAACTCTGTCACTCAAATTTGGAAGCCTTCTCCAAGCCCTCAAATCAACAGCAGTGTTCTCCTGGGGGTCAGTGTCAGAAAGCACAGAAAGTATAAAACTCCCAGGTTTCTGGGTTTCAACACCTTTATCTGTTCTGAAGAACTTCCTTGAAATGTAGAACAGGCTTTGTTGAAATGCTCCCTGTTTTCCTGTCGATTCACCCAGCTGCTTCACATGAGAGCCTGTTGTAGGTGTAGAACTCAGAAGTGTCTCTGATCCTCTGCTCCAGCCTGGCTGCAGGCAGGTGCTGAAGTGCCAAATGCTGCTGAGCAGGTACCTAGAGCATGTCCAGCAGGAGGGGATATCACAGAGGCTGATGGCCAGTGGCACATCCCTGTGTCAGCCAGGCATCCAAGGTGAATCTGACCATGAACCCCCAAACATGAAAAAGCATTTCCCTAAGGAGGGAAAATTCTATGTACCATTATGAGATGAACTAAAAACTTTTTCAATGGGAAGAATTCAAAGCAACAGAGTCAGGATAAGAGAAATGAAAAGCATTTCAAATCAATTATTCTTTCAACTCCAGCTTTCCTGGTCTTGCACTGACTGTTTCAGTCATTGTGGCAGGGTCTGCCCAATTCTTGCTGTCATCTCTGGTCCTTGAGAAGTGTCCTTCCCTCATTCCTGAGGGCAGACTGACAGCTGCAGTCCATGTTCTGTGTTACACCCACTCTGTATGGACTGGGCACAGCCAGGTTTCTGTGGGATGCTCTGGCCTTCCATGGGCTGCATCCTTGGGCTCTTGTTCCCCTTGAGCAAGTCCAGCAGACTTCTCTGTAGGACCACTCAGCAGGAAGTCAAAAGCCCCATCAGTTTTTTAAAAGGACTCAGCACAACTCTGCCCAAAATAGGGTGGGGACACAAAGAAGGATTTGTCACAGTGGCTGTGGAGGACTCAGAGAAGGTTTTTGTGGTAACAGAAGGGACCAGAAGCCCACACTGGGTGACAAATCCTCTTGCAGCTCTCACTGCCCATCATTTTGGCACTGACCTTTTTCCTCCCTCGTGAACATCTTCCCAACAGCAAGCCACGTGTATTACTAGAGGATTTTGTAGCATCTCTTTATTTCCATACTATTTTCAACATGTGAAGGTTAAACCCTCAGTGTTCTCTCAAAGATCCTCGTGCTTTTAGAATTCATGTTTCCTCTCCACAGAGATTTTTATTGGTAACAGCCCCATACCTGTAGCTGCAAGAAATCCACAGAGTGGGGCTGCATATTGAATAGTGGTATTTTTAGCCTCACATCTCCCAGTACAGCACTGTCAGTGCTCAGAGGAAACTGATTATTTTATCTTCCCTTTTTTGTCTTAGTCTTGGTGTCAGAAACTGAATGGTACAATTGGATGTTTTCTTTGGAAATTATCTACAATACACCGTAAGCCAAAAATAGACTTTATGATGCAGTGATCAATTATTGTGTGAATGTATTACTTTTGTCTTGAGACAAAGGATGTAAATATGTCTTTGATGAGAGAGTTTTTAGGAAATAAAATATTGATTCCTGTTTGTTACCTAGAATCAAAAAATTTACAGCAAGTTTTAGAATAGGAAGGAGGAATTAAAAGCCAGGAACATTTGACTGCAAATCTTTGTATTCCAGATTGATCAGGAAAAGATAAGCAAACTTTGGGATAACTGAATACTATGAGGGTTTTGCCTTTGGAGACAAAACTTTTTCATTTTTAGTAGTGGTTTCCAAGGCAACAGTCATAAAAAGACATTTCTAGTATATAAAAAGGCATTTGTGTCAATACAGAGGACATCTAGGCTCTTGCATCCCTGCTTTTAGATGGACTCTGTTACATGTTATAGATTCATTTAGTTTAAAACATGGTCAGGGTTCACATGTATTTCAAAAGGAGCTACATGGCCCCAGAACAATTCTTTACCTGTAGCAAAATATTTAGAATCAGGACAGAATTTGTAGCACTACTGCAAAAAGGACTTAACTGGTATTTCTCTTACAGGTGACACCTTAATAGTCTCCATTAATTCTGATTTTTAGTGAGACAAAAAGCTGCTACAAATGGAATTATATGGTAAAGAAATGTATTCTAGATTTCTTTTATGAGCTTTATTTCTGAATTCATTTATTCAGCCTTATTATATCCATGATAGTAGTTAGAGAATTGATTTATTGCATTGTATTTCCTGAATCACTTCGTAAACTTTATAGGTCTAATTCTTCTCAAGGCAATTGGGTGAAATACTCCATCCAGGAAGATTTCAGACTTATTAGATTCATTAGAGGAGCAAAGATTGATGCCAGCAATCTTTATGAATTCTAGCAAGTAGAAAAACTTTGGAGGGATCAGGATGAGGTGTTCATATTTTTAATATATACTTTCCACATTGCAAGACACTCTCAGATTTCTGTGAGTGATACACAAGTAACAGGTTTTGGGAGAGAAGGTTTAATTTGCTGAAAAGTAAAACAAGATGCAAATGATTTTCCAGTTAATTTGGGATGTTAAGCAATAGTTTCTGAACAACTTCTGTGCTATTGCAAGCATATTGACTAGGTATTTATTTTAAGGTTAGAATGGGCTGTAGAGTAAATTGGTTATTGGCAACCATTGAGAAAAAGAAGCTGCCAAGGTCTGCATTAACCTGTTTTCTTGAAAACTCAGTGGTGACCTAATGTTGAGCATAAATGGTGTCAACTCTTTAACCCTGTGTGTGGCACAGCATGAAGGGTCTGGAGCATGAAGCAGTCAGATGAGCTGGGGGGGCTCAGCCTGGAGAAAAGGAGGCTTGGGGGGGACCTTATTGCTCTCTACAACTCCCTGAAAGGAGCCAGGGTCAGCCTCTGCTCCTGGTAATGAATGACAGAATGAGAGGAAATGT